TATATATATATATATATATATATATATATGTCAGTGAAGATGGAAAAATAATTACATCACTTTTTAAAGAAAATCATTTATTGTATTTCATTTTCTCAAATCGCATATAAAAAAAAATGTATAACTTGAAATAAGAAAAAAAGTATTAATTATATCTCAGGGAGGTTTAAAGACTAGATATTTAAATTAAAAATAAAATACATGGATGAAAGTCCACTTGGCGTCCTTATAATAAAAATTAATGAAAAAAATCCAAAGATTGTGTACATCAGGCATAATCAATTTAAACATAATACTAATTGTTCTTGCAAAACTATATGTTAACAATATTTCTAAAAATATATAATTAATAAATCTATAAACTCATGATTCTTTTAAAAAATAAAATGCAGGATTTATATTTACAAAAGTTTAAATAAAAATTGTCCACTACGTAATCCAAATACAGTATTTTACAAAAAATTGGTGTTTCGCATAATAATAGCATAAAATAATTATGTGCAATATACACAAATCTTATTATTTAAGTGAAAATGTTCTCTTTCAATTGACGTAGCTTATTTGTAAGGCTTCTAAACCTTCTTTAGCAATAAGTCCAGCATCTTTTAAATGATCGAGTAAATCTTTGAAATTAGCTATTTTTTTTTAATCGAGAGATAACTTTAGTCGAGTACTTTTTATTTTTTAAGTATTCTTTGTACAGTTTTTGGACTGCTTCGTAAGCTTCAACTGATGTGAAATCATCAGGACCAAGATCTCCAACATAACGGATTTTTTTAAAACGCTTTGTTTTTGACCCTGCCAGTGTGCCTGCAGTACTACATCTGAAACAAATTTTTAATGAATAATACAATATTTGTTAACATATGATAAAGTTACCTTTTTTGTCTACTTGCAATGGATTCTTGATCATTATTAAGTTGTTGACAAAATGTCTTGATTGTCATTTATATTTACACATGTTTCTAATACCTGTGGGTTGGACTCGATCACTTTCATTGATTGATAGTCACAACTATTGGAAATTAATTATAAAAAATAATTTTTCTTCAACACTTATTACATACATACATAAACATGATGTTGTGCCCCAGGGTGGTGAGACACGTCGAGTAGATTCGGGATCGGTGGGTCGGGGATGCAAAGGCGTAGTGATGTAGTTTGGCAAATAAATTTAATGCACCTTTTTAAACGAACTTCCCGAGTTCTTATTACTTAATACAATTTGACGGTCGCGTAAGTTGCTGTCGCAGAACCGGAGGAGCAATAGCCCTGTTTGGCGTTCTTCTCTGGTCCTTTTATAATCTATAATTAGGTCGTAGACGGGGGTGTTTGGTCAACTGTAAAGTTGTTACATTTACTGCTGACCTGTCCCCAATATGTTGCGATATATTTTCAAGGCGACGCTTAGCGTAGCACTTGCGCAATCATAATAATGTTGTAGCGCTGTCGAAGCGGTTTCTTACGAAACGTTTCGGCAACGCTAAGAATAATACTAACGATTATAACATTCCTCCCCCCATGGAGCAAGAAAACGGAAGGTCTGGAACGACGTTTTCGCCTTAAATTATAACGCTTTACAATTTTTATCATTTTTTTTTTTTCCGTTACAATAATAGTTATAATCGTTTTCCTTACTTACAACTGTACATGTAGGCTATGTCTACGTTTTAATATTGGTTTAGGTTGTGTTCTGATATTTCGTTTATTGCTACGTTCTATTACGATTGGTGAGTTTTTTCCATTTTTAATTTTCTTTATTACAATTATCGCAATTATAATCACTATGACTATAGTTACTCCGCTCGGTGCTGTTGTGTACATAATATTTTTATAATGTAGAAACGAGTTTGAGTTGTTTTCTAAATTTCTATATGTTTGTGTTATTCTGTTACTTAATTCTACCAACTCTGATGGGTTGTGTATTATTTTATTTGGTTTTACGTGTAGGATTTCGTTTTTGTTTTTTATCACGTTTAAATTTTTTTGTTCTAATGTTATATTATATTCAGGTATGTGCGTTTGTATTAATGTGCTCTTTATTATACCTTGTGCTTGTAAAATCTTGTCTTCAATTATTACTTTACATTGATCCTTAATGTGTATAATTCCTGTTTTGCTTATTTTCTCATAAAATGTTTTTTCTTTGCATTGAATATGGATGGTTTGCTCACTATTGGTGGAATATAACCATGTATTCTTTCGCGTTAATGCTATTACGAAGGTATGGTTAGCTATAATGTATTTTAAATGGCAGTTTTTCATATTTTGTAATGTCGTATACATCTGGATTTCACAAGGTGTTTCTTCGTTAATTCTATATATCGCATTTTGTTGCGGACAAATATATTGATTATTAATTTTTATACAATGTGTTAATTCGTTTTCTTGTAATAGTAAATATGTGTTTGTTTCCTGGTTAATAGCTACTTGTGTGTATGCAATGCTAGTTAAAGCGAAAATGTTATCATGGCTGTAAACCGGGAAAGGATGTATGTGTACTATTTCGTACGTATTATATGTTATAAGAGGTAAGTATAAAATAGTAAAGATATTTTTATTTTTGTAATACGCACTAATTGTGAGAAATTTCTTTATTTCCAACCAATTTTCTGTTTTAGGCGTGAATGGAAATCTTGTTCCTTTTGGTAAGTGTATTGCTACCTCTTGTAATTGAGACACGATGCTATTTATGGGTGTTAGGTTGATAGGTAAGTTTCCTAGCTGTATGTTATCTAAATAATTTACTATATCGTTCTGGTCACGTATTAAATCATTAAGTAAAGCAGTAAGTATTGTAAAATGTTCATCTATATGTTGGCGTAATATGATTCCTGTTTCCTCTGTATAGAGCTGTGTAATAGTGTTCCATAATATTTGCTCATTTGTTTCCAAAGTTTGTTCTAAATTATCTAAATGATTGATAGTTGTATTAATAATTTTGAGTTGGTTTGCTATTGCATGTTGTAACGTCTCTTGTTTGTTTTCTATTAAGCTTAATTGTTCGTTTATTATTTTTTCATCATTCGCATCCATTATTCCAAATAGTGATTTTGTTAAGGATCCTATTCCATCTACTAATCCTCGTTTTATTTCTCTTGGATTTTTATATATATTGTGCAATCGTTCCGTTATATTTTGTACGCGGTCTAACCCCTTTTTTACAATTTTTTGTGAATTTTCACACAGTTCCCACGTAATGCTCGGTTCTTTTTGTTGGTTACATACCTCTTGTGTGTTTCTAAGATATTTTTGTATCTGGTTACCTCGAATGTCTATTCCCTGTATGTCTATTCTGATTACTACCTTCCATGTAGAGACAACTTGGTGTAATTGTCCTTGAAGGTCATAATACACTCCAGGAGTATGTGTGAATTTGATGATCTCATACGGTGCCTTTGTCTCTGTTCCTTTTACTCTGAGGTTGGCACTTTTTATCAGTACGAGTGTCCTGGAAATACATTGGGGTTCAGGTGTTGGAATAGATATGATACCCGTTTTTATTGTTTGCATGTGTCGTATTTATGTTAGCGACTAATGCATCTATCAGTGTTGTTTCATTCCCTCAACGACCACGATGTCGTCTGTCACAGTCCCTTGTACCGTGCGTCCTGAGGTAGTGATTTTATCTGTAGCCCTGTTGAATATGTATATAGTGCTTTTCGTTATTATTTTGTTTAGCGGGAATGTGTAGTTTGTGAAGAATTGGATGATGTTTTTGACGGTTCTGTGCCGTCTCCTTCCTGGAACGTGTCGGGAGGGTTTCACCGTCCTCCACTTGGTCGCGGTCATGGTCGTGCTATTTGGACTCGTGTGGAAACACTTCGGCAAATTGGAGCTTCCCAAGTCGTTCTCCAGGACCGACCTTTTTGTGGACGTGGCAAGGGAACACCTCCGTTCTAGGTATGTGTTTTTTTTTAATCTTCTAAGTATAACTTTAATCGGTTCGCGTGCGTACGAAGTGTTCGTCGGCCGCGTTTTATTGTATAGTTTTCGTTAGGGTGTTTTTCAATTATTTCATATGGTCCTATCCACATTGCATCTAGCTTCTTTGATCTTCCCCTTCGTACTGTCTCGTCATGAAGTAACACCTGGTCTCCTATGTCAAGTACAGCTTTTTTCGTGTTTTTATCATAATACTTTTTACTTTTTATTTTCTCCTCCTTGACGTGCTCCCGGGCAATTTGATTCGTTGCTCGGAGTCGTTGTTTCATCTCCTGTGCATAATCCTCAATGCTGTATGTATTTTTTGGTGATCCTAATATGGACGATGGTAGTGTTGCTTGGTGTCCATATATTAACTCAAACGGAGTGTAATTAGTTGCAGAGTGGGGGGTCGTATTGTATGTGAATATAGCATATGGGGTCCACTCATCCCAGTCTGTTTGATCTTGATTTATGTAGTGACGAAGATATTCCGTGAGTGTACGATGAGATCTTTCCAGAGCCCCGTTACTCTGTGGGTGGTACGCCGTTGTTTGGATTTTTTCTATTCTCAATAGTTTACATACTGATTTAAAAACTTTACTTAGGAAATTCGTTCCTTGATCCGTTAATATTTTTCCTGGTATTCCATATTCTAATATAATCTTTTCTGTGAATTCTTTTGCGACGGTGGTTGCCTCTTGGTTTGGTATAGGGACCGCTTTACTAAATTTGGTCAACATGTCCTGGAATGTTAAAAGATATCTATTTCCATTTCTTGTTATGGTTAGAGGTCCTACTATATCTAATGCACACTTCTCGAAAGGTTCAGTAGGTGTGTCTGTAATAATCATTGGTGCCTTCTTCTGAATGCTTAACTTGTTCTTTTGACACAGTTCACATTTTCTTATATATTGTGCCACGTCTTTTGTTATCCCTTTCCAGTTATGTTTTAGACGTAGTCTATTTAATGTGCGTTGTACTCCTTGGTGTCCTCCTAATGGAGCGTTATGGTATTCATATAGGATTTGGTTCTTCTCTTCTTTGGTATAATTTCGCATACCGTGCGTGTCTGTGTCTTCTCCCTCTTCTTTTTCCTCTTCCTCTTCTTCTTCTTCTTCTTCTTCTTCTCTTTCCTCTTCTTCTTCTTCCGTTTTAGTCGTTTTAAACGGAGCACTCGTTTGTATTACTGATACCGGGGGGTATCTGCTTAGCGCATCTGCGTTAACATTTATTTTCCCTGATTTGTGGACTATTTCATAATCGTATTCTTCTAATTTCAATCTCCATCTTATTAATCTAGATCCGGGGTCCGTAACGTTAAATAGCCAAACCAATGGTTTGTGATCTGTAACAATTTTAAATTTTGTCCCGTAAATGTAATGCCTAAAATGTTTTACGGCCCATACTATTGCTAGTAGTTCTTTTTCAGTAGTACTATAATTTTGTTCCGCGCGTGATAGTACGCGGCTTGCATAAGCTATCGGATTGTCTTCTCCTATGCGGCCCTGTGATAATATGGCTCCAATTGCATGATCGGATGCGTCAGTTGTCACGACGAATTCCTTTTCAAAATTCGGATATTGTAATACCGGTGTGGTGGTTAGTTTTTCTTTTAACACGTCGAACGCTGTTTGTTGTTGTTGACCCCATTCAAATTTTTCCTCCTTTTTTGTAAGTTTAGTCAAGGGTCGTGCTATTTTTGAAAAATTCTCAATGAATTTTCGGTAATACCCTGCGAGACCTATAAATGACTGGATGTCTTTAGTTTTTTTAGGCCTTGGGAAATTTGTTATGGCCTCTATCTTTTTTGGGTCTGGTAGGATTCCCTTTTCCGAAATTATGTGTCCTAGGTAGGTTACCTCTTTCCTAAGGAACTCACATTTATTTGGTTGAAGTTTTAGGTTACATTGCCGTATTCTGTGTAATATACTGATAAGTTTTTTATTGTGATCTTCTAGACTATTTCCATATATTACTATGTCGTCTAGGTATACCAAACATTTTAACCCTTGTAATCCTGTTAGGACAGTGTTCATTAGTCGTTGAAAAGTGGCTGGTGCATTTTTTAATCCGAACGGCATTCTGTTAAACTCGTAATGTCCCGTAGGTGTTGAAAACGCTGTTTTTTGCTTATCTTTTTCTGCCATCTCTATCTGGTGGTATCCTGCTGCGAGGTCCAAGGTAGAGAAATATTTAGCGTTCCCCAATTGATCTAGAATGTCGCTGATATTAGGTAGAGGGAATGAATCTCCTATAGTTAAATCATTTAACTTCCGAAAATCGACTACGATCCTTAGTTTCGTTTCTCCTGAGGCATCCGTTTTTTTTGGTACTACTAATAACGGTGCATTCCACTGGCTGTTGCTAGCTCTTATTATTTTATTGTCAAGCATTTCTCGTATTTGCTTGTCTACCTCTTTCTTGTGCTTTTCCGGAAGACGATATGGTCGCACGTTCACCGGCGCGGCGTCACTTCGCGTGGTGATTTGATGCTTTACCACCGCGGTATGCGTGAGGCTATCTCCTTCGAGAAAAAATATATCATTATATTCCTCACAAATTTCATGTATAATTTTTTTTTCTTCGTTGTTTAAATGCTCCAATCTTAATTGTTGGTTCAATTTTTCTGTTCGCGCTGTCAGTTTATTGCTTTGATTTTTTGTGAGCATGTTTATCTCCGCGGTATCATATTTCGGGGTATCTTCTAATATTACATATGGTGTAGCTATTTCGACAATATTATCGGTAGTATTTACTACCGTTGCTGGACATGTGAAATTGTCAGGTTCTACCAAACAATTTCCGATAAAAATTCCTTGTGAAATTTCTTCAGCGGGGATTACTCCCACTCGATTTATGTTTACTGCGGCACGTATTATTACTTCACTGCGCGCGGGAAGGTTATACGTCTGCTGTGAAATCAGCGATAGACTTTGTCCGGAAATCATCATCGTCCTTGCTTTATAATCAAGATTAGCGCGGTGTTTGCGAAGGAAATCTATTCCTAATATTCCCTCGTGCTCGATTGGGAAATCATCCTGTACAACATATAGTTCGAATCTTCGGCGCTGGTTTCCTACGTTGACTGTGGCGATTATTTTTCCTATCGTGTAGGCTTTATGTCCGGTGATACCCGTAAGTGTCAGTTTTTCTGCAGTCATAGGGGTATCATCGTCCAGCGTTCGTATCTTTACGAGGCTTATTGCAGATCCCGTGTCAACGAGAAAAGGTATTCTTTCTCGTTTCGCCTCCTTTATTGGCAAGATGACTAAGTCGAATCCTGCGTTTTTATGTAAGTTTCGGCGGATCTGATTTACGCGGTAGTCGCGCACGCGATTTTGCTCCTTTTTTATTTCTCCTTCTGTATCATTAATAAATCGGACGTTCCCGTTTCTGCGCGACGTCGCTGGTTTATCTGTATTTACCGCAGTGATAGTCACTGGCCGCGAGGGTCTACGGTAGTCACGCGCGGTGTCCCGTGTCTCGGTCGGCTTCCCGTGTATGTACCAGCAGCTATCGCGAGTGTGTCCGTTTTTCTTGCATCGTGTGCACCATGTGTCGGTTGCATTCACGCGAGAGGTTACTGCTGGTTTAGGCAGAACGAACCGATTTCCATATCGACTGCTACGGCATTCGCGTCCCTGATGCCCTAATTTTCCGCACTTTTGGCATTGTATTATGGGAACATCTCGTTTAGTGTTCGCGAGAGATCCTCGGTTATACCGATTTATTTCGTAGGTGCGTGCAGGAATCTCCAGGGTTCCTTTAATTCTTTCTTCTTCAATTGCCCCTGCTATTGCCTCGGCTAAAGTCGCGGGTGCACGGGACCGGACTATTGTTTGTAGCCTGTCGTTTAGTCCTAGTTGATAGTTGATTAGGGCTAACGATTTCAAGAAAAAATGAATGCCAAGTTTCTGCGTGGGGGAGTAGAGATCCCCTTCCGTTCCGGCCTCGAATAGATCCGTAGTTAATGATTCTACACGGTTTCCGTAAGTTCGCGCATCTTCTCCAGGTTTTTGATGCAAATTATTAAAGTCTCGAAGTAGTCGAGTTATTGATTTCTTTTTCATGAAACATCTTTCTAACACACCCCTGAGGACAGCAAAAGTGTGAATGTTTCGGTTTTTTACCTCTGTTAGGGCGATTCCCTTTAGCTTGGTGCAGATTACTGCTCGAATTAATGTAGATTCGTCAGCAGGATGTATTAGCTCAAACGCGTATTCACACGCCGTTAGGAATTCTATTAATTTATCATCCTGCGTGCCATTAAATATGGGGATCTGATCTCGCGCTTCCCTGATGCGTCGGGATCGTTCCTCGCTAACCGGGGGTAACCCGTCTGGAAAATGGTCACTGTGACCTTGTCCTCGTCTGTCTGGAGGGTATTGTTCCGTATCTACGTTAATGTTTCTTACATTTTGTGGGTCGTCTATGCGAGAGTTAGTTAGTAAGGCTGCATTCGTATAGATAGTATCGCGCAAGTCCTCTATACGCGCTAATAACTGCTCATTAGCGTTATTGTATATGTCAACGTCGCGTCGAATTCTGCTGATTCCTGGTTGAGGATCGTTTACTTCGCTCAACGGCTCTTCTCGTAGTTGAGCCCCGCGGGGGCGAGAGATTTCTTGATCTCTTCCGTTCTCCGCCGCGTGTAGGGTTTCGTCGCGTTGCCCGGTGGCCATTTCGTCAAATGAATCGAATACACTACTATCGTAAGAGGTTAAAGAGAAATCCCCTCTTTGCGAGACGTCGCTAACGGTATCGTGTGAGGGTAAATATGCGCGGCGTCTTGTACGTCGGATGTCGTTTGTAATTTGCACGTCCGGTAATATGCTATGGTCTATTTCTCCGAAAGGGAATTCACGTTCGGCGATTACGTGCTCTGGGGATTCGCGTTCGGTTTCATCCGAATAGTCTAATACGCGACGCACAAGCTCTAATGTTTCACGCACGTCTTCTAAAACTTCGGCAACTGTCTCGTTGGGATTTGAAAGGTGTTCGATAGTTAATCGCGCTGGTGCGCTGTGTAGCCACGATTGATTTGGTATAGGTTGGTCAGGAGTACCGCTTCCGCTCGACATTCACGCCTTTACGTGTTCGCTCGCATAAACTTAATCGCTTAGATTACAATAGTTTCTCGACTTACAATAATGTTGTCACGGCTCTTCTGTAGCTCATCGTGTTTTGGGTGAGTCGGCAAGTCGTCACTCGTTACTGGGTCAATGGCGTTGGGCAGGTCGCGGTCGCCGCTGGTGCAGTCGCCGTAGGCTCCGGTGTCGCTGACAACGTAGTATCGTAGGCCGTAGCTCCGACGGTCGCCTTGATTACGCTGCTGCTCGTCTTTCACCGATTACCGCTGTCCTCTGCCGTCTCTGTTAGCCTTGTGGTCCCAGGGTGTTGTCTTGGAGGGCTCTCAATGACTTTTTAGCTCTCTCCAAATGTTTCTTTTTTTTTTTCTCTCTCTCTCTCTCCTTTTTTTTTGTGTGTGTATGGTCCTTGTTAGACGTCTTCGGGGCTTGTAATAAATTTTTCGAGCTCCCCTTATTGTTTCCTTTTTGCTTCCTTGAGCCTTCCCGTCTAAGTATGTTGACGAGGCAATTTTTTCTTCGTGCTTGCGATATCTGGTAACTCTTGTCTAGTAACGTATCTCCCACGTCACTTGTTGGTTCCGACTGTATCGTCTTTTTTGTTTTTTACGTCACTTTTCTAACCCGTAGTTTCTTTTTACAGGTAGCACCTAGGCCCCGGCGGACACCGATCCCACCGCTGCCACCAATTTGTTGTGCCCCAGGGTGGTGAGACACGTCGAGTAGATTCGGGATCGGTGGGTCGGGGATGCAAAGGCGTAGTGATGTAGTTTGGCAAATAAATTTAATGCACCTTTTTAAACGAACTTCCCGAGTTCTTATTACTTAATACAATTTGACGGTCGCGTAAGTTGCTGTCGCAGAACCGGAGGAGCAATAGCCCTGTTTGGCGTTCTTCTCTGGTCCTTTTATAATCTATAATTAGGTCGTAGACGGGGGTGTTTGGTCAACTGTAAAGTTGTTACATTTACTGCTGACCTGTCCCCAATATGTTGCGATATATTTTCAAGGCGACGCTTAGCGTAGCACTTGCGCAATCATAATAATGTTGTAGCGCTGTCGAAGCGGTTTCTTACGAAACGTTTCGGCAACGCTAAGAATAATACTAACGATTATAACAATGATAAATCACACCTTTCAGAGGAGTCGATTAAGCTAGGTTTTTGGATGCATGGAGTATCTGATGATATTGATAAACTGCCAACAGTAGTTTCGCAGTTTTGTGGCTTGTCTTCGGTGCCATTTTCTCTGTAAAAAAAATTTACAGGTATGTAAATTTGACTATTGTAATTATTATAACTACTACTCTGTACACACATTTTTCACATACCTGTCAGTCACAGTATCAATAAGTAACGAAGGAACTGCATTGGGTAGCAACTTTTTTCTAATGTTTCCATTAACAGCTGTGTATTCAAAATCAGTTGCTAAAAAATGTCTACAACAAATTCTAATTGTCTTAGCTAACGGCCTCTGAATAATAGAAGACCATTGTTGTAGTCTATTTTCATCACCAATAATCCTGTAAAGTTATTTAGTTAAATGTTAACTTCAACATTTAGCTCCAATGTAAACATAACCAAACATGTAAACAGAAATGGTTGTGTTAATATTTTTTACATAATTTACCTGTGGAATGAGACATTTTTAATCTGGCCTTGAGATAATTTACACACGCAACAATGGTGCACCATTTTCCATTAATATTTTGAACTTTTACTAAAAATTTATTGATTTAATCTTTATGTGACAACGTTGTTGTGTACATCACGCCGCACGCGTATTCCTTAGTCCCCACTCTTCGTTGCTGCCCTCCCTCGATAAAAAGAGAAAGAATGAGTTTAGAAAGAGATAGAAGACCTCCAACTCTATCCCCTCTCCTGTAATCCCCACTGGGTTATGTGGGGATGCGCGGTCTATTGTATAAGTCTATGGTCCCGCTCGTTGCGTGCGTGCGTTGCAGCGAACGTTTCCTGCGGCATTTCCGAGCGCCGGTGCGCGGATGCATTTGTGAGCGATCTCTTCTTTTCTCGAGCTGTGTACGTGATCGCCGCGTGCTGTGGAGCGTGTCCGCGACGCGTCGGCCCCCTTGTCCGCGTGTGTACGCGTTTGACCTGGAGTGCGGTCGCGGGCGCGCCTATGTGTGTAAGGCTCGGGAGAGAGAGAGTTCACTGCGAGGGTAATTAGTGTTTAGAGTTAGCAGGCGTAGGGATGGGCAAGCGTGCCCTTGCCCTCAATCCTCTTGTGCGAAGAGGCTCGCGAGCTGTGCACGTGCACAGCTGCGTGTTAGGCTGCCAGCCAATCGCGCTCGTGTCTCGCGAGTTTGTTGTTATTTGTTTCGTCGTCAGCGACCTTTCGTTGGTTTGTAACCGTCGAATAAAGCCGTTATCTTGTTGCGTAATCACGACATAGCAGTGAGTCAAACCTTTCACTTTGTCCTTCCTCGCGATCACAGAAAGAACAGAGCAGTATATTTCGTGTGGCGTGCGGAGGCGAGTTTGTCCGCTTTGAGCGTCGAGCTGCGCGGGTTCCCCACGCACGCTCCGGCCCTCCGCGGGTACGCCGTTCGAGTACCGACGGCGACGGCGCCCACATATGTATATATATATATATATATATATATATATATATATATATATATATATATATATA